CTGGGTGGGGACGCAGCTGCAACATTTGTTTACTGAGGTGGAGGGGACGGGGGTGGGGGTGGGGGCAGGAGTGGGGGAAAGCACAGGCCCTCAGCTGACTGGGACCCTCTGTCCTCAATTCTCATTCTCCTAAACTTGTGCTGACTGCACATTCTCAGGACAACCAGCCGGGAAAGGCTCTGCAGTGCCTGTATAGCAGCACACGTGGGGTGGGTGCTCGGAGCGGTGAGGTGGAGGCTCAACAGGCAAAATACTGCTACGGAGCCTGCCTGGGCTCCAGCTCCAAGCCCGGAACATTCTGCACTGCCAGAGACAGAAGAGAAGGGAGCCGAGGCCCCAGCAGGCCCCTCCCCCTGCTCTCACTGATGTCTTGGCATGTCCTCTCTCTAGCACACCCGCCATCAGCCATCCCTGGCTGTGTCTTAGGGCCGAGCGTGGCGGATGCCTTAGTGGTAGAGCATGAAATCTCGCAGGGGGCAGCCTCGGAGGCCTAGTGCTAGCCACTGCTTTCTCCCTCCACCCACATTGACCACCAGGGATGCGCTGTATCGTACCAGCAGTGAAAGCATGATTGACCCTCCTCAGGTCCTGTGCTGACCAGCTAGTGAGAGAAGGCTCTGGAACACTGAATGGCCCACAGGGCAGGGAGGGAGGGAACAGCTGTGGCTGTGTGAAGCTGTGTGTTGTTGGGCAGGGACTTGAGGCTCAGGAGGTTCTGCTAAACTGGATTGTTACAACTGCACACCCAGGACAGTGTGGGTACCGGGCAGGCAGCAAGGCAGCCAGCAAAAAGGTGTGTTCTTGGAACCCACCCTGCATTTGCACCCTTAGTTCCTTGCTCACTCCTCTTCCTGACCCCATAAGGACCCAACTTTGTGTCTCAAGTGAGCACATGGTTCCACAGCAGTTTCTCAAAGTCATCATCATCATGGTTGTTAGCTAGCATCGAGCTGGCCCCCACACATGGTGGCCCCCACCTGTGGTATGTCATCCTATGATCAGTTTCGATGAGACTATGGCAATCTGTAGGGTTTTCATGGACTGATTTTCAGAAAGATCACCAGGCCTTTCTTCCTACTTCATTTTAATCTGGAAACTGCTGAAAACGGTCCAGTATCATAATAGCATGCAAGCTTCCCTGACAGACAAGTGGTGCCTGCACATGAGGTAGACAGACCGGGAATTGAACCTGGGTCTCCCACATGGAAGGTGAGAACTCTACTACTGAATCCTCGCTGCCCCCCTTTCTAGACACTAGTGTTCTTCTAGGAATGTCCTTCCTCTTATCCCAAACTCCGTGATAACCTAGAAAGAGGATCCCGTGTGCCTGGAGAAAGCCCGGGGGTGATAGCTCAAAGTCAGACTTCGCTACGTGTGGTGGAAGTGTTGATATCTTGCTCCTGTTGACAGTCTGGCACGCTATGGTCAGAAGCATGGCATTGGGACGGGAAGCCAGCATACATCTTTGTCCTTCTCGAGTCCCACATCCAGATGTTAACGAAAGCTTGGTTCGGCCTCTAAATTGTCATTAAAGACACAGGGGCCTGTGGGGGGACATGATGAAAAGGAGGTGGCCTGGACCCTGGAAGCCCATTTCCACTGTGACTAGTGCATCAGTAGCTTTGCTCAAAGGAAATCTGGAAGTTTTCCATGTAGAAGGAGCTGAGCCTACTTGGAACATTTCATATCAACAGAACCCTATATTACAGAACCCTTTGTGACTAGCTCTGTGTGTGTGTGTATGTATGTGTGTAAACATACACCACTTCATGCACACTTCAAGCTTGCATGCACACTTCAGTGACATTAGCTGCGTTCTTCAGGTTACGGCACCTTCCTAGACAGCTTGTTCAAAACGGTTTCCCCATCATTCACACAAACTCACTGCCCTTAAGCTTCTCATCAATCCTTTGGCATTACTGTTGTCATTTCGATCACATAGAGGTAACTTTTTAAGAGAATAATGCTTAATGTAGACACACTTTTGGACATGTATTGTGATGGGCTTCTTTCGTCTTCTGTGCTGTCTTTTAATGACCGATGTTGATAGGGGCAGTTAGGTTGTGATCATCATGACAGCGCTGTGTGGTAGATACATACTGGCCCATTTTATAGAAGAGGCTTGTATCCAAGTCAAGCAGAGCCAGGACTCAGCAGGCCCCGGAGGGTAGAACACGGAAGCTGCTTCAGTACATGTGTGTGACGTGGCGGGGCCCTGGCCATGCTCACTGGCCTGTGTGGGAAGCAGCCCATTCCAAAAGTCAGACACAGCCTGGACAGGCTTCCTGGGAATGGGTCAGAAAACTGATGGTAAGGGGAGCAGGCAATTCTTGTCACTCAGCAAACCCCAGGCAGGGGGGCAGGTGTTCCTCAGGGGAAGTGGTCCCTGGCCAGGCCTTTGGGAAAGGCTGGATTAAACCTGGTCACACAGATGTATGTACCTCTGGAGTCTCAGAACCTCTGTCCTACAAGCTTAGTTGATAGACACACAGTTTCTCAAGCCTATTTGGCCACAGAGCCTTAAAAAGGAGGTGGCCAGGAGGCCTCATCTGCTTCTGGAGTTGAGGAACCAGAGGCCAAGGAAGGTGCAGGACTACAGAGACCTTGCTCCTGTCTGTGTACAAGGAGCATTTGAAGAAAGTGGCACCGGCCTCATCCTACTGCAGACTTGGAACGGCACAGTGAGTGCACAGTGTGGATAACCCAGAGGGGTCTGCCGACAGACAGGTGTAGAGGACGGGATTGTTCCCCAACACCTTCTGGCAGGCCCACTCCTCCCATAAGCAGTCTCTCCCTAGGGCTTTGCAGAGCCACGTGCTTGTGACCCCAGTTCCTTACCAGCACCCCAGTCTGCGTGCTTCCAGTAACACAGAAGAGAGACACAGAGAGCCTCAGGCAGTCTTGCCAGACCTGTGGCCTTCTCCAGGCCAGGTTCTGGCTCCTGCCTCTGAGAGGCATTTTCTCTTCCAAACCTCTTGCCTTGTTTCTCTGGGAGGCAGATATGCCATCTCTAGAAAGAAGGCCGCTCCAGAATCTGAGCTAAGGTGGAGCCTTAGTGCACAGTCTACCCTGTACACCCCCTGCCCCAGGCCCATCAGGCCCTAACTCCATACTTCCCAGCTCTGGGACCCTACCTACCTCCCACAGTGGTTGCTGTGCCCATGGCGGACCTGCAGGACCGTCCTCTCCCAAGGACCAGTCTCAACTGCTCCTTTGGCTGAAACATGGCCTTTGGCTGCTGACTGAAGAATGGGAGCCAGAGGTTTTTCCCACCACACCCTGAGAGGAAGGGTGGAAGGAGGCCCTCACTGTCCTAGCCTGCTGGCCTTGGCCTTGCATTCTTGGCCACTCCCAATATCCCCATTTGTGTAGGGATGGGTGAAGAAGGAATAGGGACTTCAACTCAAAGTGTGGTCTGTAGGCCAGCAGCATCACCCCTGGCCCCCCCATACCCACTGACCCTGATTGTGCACGTGTAGACCCCAGGTGGTCACATGCCCATGGACATTTCAGCAGCCTTGCTCTGGGGCCCTCTGCCCAGGTGCACACAGAAATGCGACCATGTACCAGTGGCAGCATTGCCTTGCAACCTCAGGAAAGTTCTAAGTTCTTCTCCCTCCCTCCCTGCCCCCTTAGAACTGTCAGCTAAAGGGAGATAGAACATTTCATTTTCCGTAGGTTATTTCAAGTCAAAGGCCATTTAGCTTCAGAAACTGTATTAAAATGACCGACCAGAGATGAAACCAGAGCAGCAGGAGGGAATTGTTCACTAAAATGCCTTGGAAAAGCCATCATCTTTCTTGCGTGTACCTTCCAACAGGAGCCAGAGCCCCTGTAAGGAACCCAAGCCTATTTCCTTCAATACCTGAATGTTGTACTGGCTCCTAGCTGGCAAGGCTCGGCAGTTTGCACCTAGTGACGTTTAGAGCACGCTTTCAGAGGAGTGTTTGGTCTAACCTGGCAGTACTTCCTGGGCGGATTGTTCCCTCTTCAGCCAATATACCATTTGTCTGGAAAACACTTTGGCCTAAAAATAGTCGCAGGGCTTGGTGTCACTGTAGATGAAGGGCACCTGTCCCATTTCCTTGGCTTTCAGACACCCACTAAGTGTCATCCCAAAGGGCTGGCGAAGCCAGAGAGAACTTGTGGTGGGACCAACCTTGGGAAGTGACCATCTAATGCTGCCACTGTGGCAGTTGCCAAGGCCTTATGACTCAACATCTAAACCTGCCACGCCTGAGAGCGAAAGTGGGTGCTTTTCAAACCCCCGCCAGGTCAACAGGCATAAACCAGGGCTACTGTTGCTCCTTGCCACTGAGTCGACTCTGACCCACGGTGACCCCATGTATTAGGGAGTAGAGTTCTGCTCCTTAGGGTTTTCTTGGCTTCATTCTGAATGGAAGCTGATTGCCAGGACTTTCTTCCACCACACCATTGGGTGGCTTTAAACTGCCAACCCTTAGGTTAGCATTTGAGCATTAACCATCAGACCTGGGCTAGTCAGCTTGCCCCTTGCCCTGACTTAAATCTTCCTTAAGCCGCCCAGAGGGCCCACATTGCCACCTCCCTCCCCTGCCCATGGAGGAGGCACCGTTATGCCAGTACAATGTGTGCCCAGATATACTGGGCACACCCTCAACCCCCATTTCCCTCCGACTCCCTCATGCAAATCTCTGCTGCTCTCCTCTGACTCCAATTTTAAACCTCTCCACTGCACGCTTTACCACCAAGTGTGGCTTTCAACTGAAGAGGTATGTGGGCCTGGTATCCCACTTGCCAAGGCTGCTGATGTGGACTTAGCCACCATGCCGGATCCCTTCCAAACCTCCCTTCTCAACATTCTCTCTCAGCACTCAGTCACTGCAAGCTCTCAGGGTTCCTCAGAGCCATCCCCATCTGTGGGATTGGTCAGGCAGCTGACTCCCCAAGGGCAGGCTCAGGCCCAAGAGCCTACGGTCTGTGCTAGCCTCTAACCAGACCATTTCTGTGTGTCATTTCAGCCTGAGACAGAGGATGAGAAGAAGCGCTTTGAGGAAGGCAAAGGGCGTTACCTGCAGATGAAGGCCAAGCGGCAAGGCCAGGCGGAGCCCCAGTCCTAGATGGCTGCTGGTAGAGACTCAAGCAGTCAGTAAAGGGACCCGGAGCATGGAATCCCTTAAGAGTTGCCCCCTTGGCCAGAAACCCAATTTACGTTGAGAGCTGGTGTTGTGTGAAGTATTTGTAACGCAGTGTTAACCTCTACTCTGTCCTAAAAACCTATACACCAAAGCTTATTTCTGTCATTCTAGTGTAAATGCTACACAGTGTTGTCCCCATGCCCAAGGTCTGCCACAGGACCCTCGGGATACTTCCGTCACTGTCAAGTATGTGAGGAATCCAGCACCAATAATAAAGCTGTTGTTTGGCTGGGTCCAGGAATTCTGTGTGGTCCTTGGTCTTTCGGGGCTGCTCGCTCACTGGGCCCAGGCTATGGGGTGCCTGGAACCAGACTAAGAACAGACCACAGCCACCAGCCTGCTCTGCCTCTCTCTGCACAGTCCACACCTCCTTCCCATGTCCCTACAGTGCCAGCACCAGCTTACATCCCAGAGCCATGGGCCGCGTTTAACTGGTGCTGCACTGACTAGAGAGAATGCCATCCGCCATGGGTCATCTTAACCTCTGCCACTGGAGGTCAAAGGTAGCTCAAGCCCCAAGCAAGGTTGTGGACACCTACCAGGGGAGTCTGCCCCCCCACATTTCTCAGCTGCCCGGCTTTGCAGATACAGGCCTCAGAACCCTGTGTCAACTGGTAAATGGGTGGCAGCCAGTCTGTATGATACACATTAGGAGGCTAAACCTACTGCCCCACTCTTCTGAGAGGCTGGAGACCCCAGCCACAGGCAGGGGGTCGGGGGGAGGCGTTTATTGGTAGGGGGTAGGGATCTATGTGTGCATGTATTTGGTGCAGTGTCTTTTAATAGTCGTCTGTATCCCCGCATGCGTGTCTATGTGCATTATGTGTTATGAGGGTCATGTGCATGTGTACCCTTATAGGTAAATGTACATGCATGCTGAGGAGATCTGTCAGCGCTTGTGGACATGTGTGCCCCTGTGCATGTGAGATGTGAGGGTGTCTGCTTCTGTGTAACTGTGTGCACGTGTGATATGAAGATGTTTCTGTGTACATCTGGATCACTGCATGTGTGTGTTGTAAGGACGTATGTCCGTGCTACCATGTGTCTCTGTGCATCTGGTTTAGCAGCCTCAGGGGACAGATAAGCTGCCAAGGCCACTGCAAGAGCCAGGACCCAAACCCTCCCTGACTTGGGCCCCTTCACCATGCACCTAGGAGATGGTGGCTTCAAGAATGTTCAAGAATGCAGCCCACACATCTGGCCCGCCACCTGGAGAGAAGCCTGACCCCCAACAGCTGCAGCCTCACACAAGGCTCCCTCGGGCCCCGGGGAGCCAGAACACATGACTCCAGATGTGCAGAAACAGCCTGCCAAGAGTCTTAGGAATTTGTCTTGGGCCCCAGTTCCAGCTGACATGGATGTTTCCTGCTATGGAGCAGGAGGAGGGAACCACAGAGCCCCACCCTGCCCCTTGCCCCCCCAAGTCTGGCTTCAGACATCTCCAGCCTCCCAGCTCCACCCATGCCCCCATGACAGCCTCCTAAGGGTCACAGTTGGTGCCAGTGGGCCAGGTTCAGGGTGGAGACCTACCCCACAGGATACAGGATGGCTAGACCCAGGTCTGATACCAAGGTAACTATAGTCCTCAAGCACAGGAAGGTGGGCCAGGCACCAGACTCCTAATTCAGCCTTGGGCAATTTGGGAATCAGGAGGCAGGTTTGAAGGGAGTCCAGTGTAGGCCATAGGGTCTGTCCCCTCATCAGTGTGGTATTGGCACCTAAAACCCACAGCCCAAGGGGTAGCCCAAAGGCACTGCCTGCCCATATGGGACTCTAGCCATGCCATCTAAAGGTGCAAGAGGGACAGACACTCAGGCAGAAAGATGAAAGAGGGCAGGCAATGTTGAAAAAAATCAAGATCCCTTCAACCCTCTGAGTCAGTGCAGGCAAGGGCATGGGAGAGGCAAGAGGGATGGAGCCTGACTGGCAGAAGGGAGCTGGGGACTGCAGGCCTGGCGCAAGGTGGTCTGGCCAGGGTGGCTGAATTACCTTTAACTCATGGTGAGAGGCAGTTTGCCCTAGAAATGCCTCACTGGTTCACCATGAGCCACTGGTGAGGCTCCCACTGCCTGCAGCTTACTTATAACCAGAGTCACCAGGTAGAAGCTGGCATATAGGACTGAATCTATAGCCCACCCTGGCCCCCTAAAGCTGCTTCTAACTCCCAGCTGCTCAGAACTTAAGGTGTTGTTGCTGTTAAGTGCTGTGGAGTAGATGCCGACTAAATAGCAACCCTGTATTGGACCTAGAGTGTAAAGACCATTTTACAGTGCAAGAGATAGAGGCTCTGGAGGCGGAGGGGCAGCCCTGCCCGGCCCAGGCAGTCTCCCAAGCTCGGTGGACAGTAGTGGGTTTAGATCTAGTCCTGGTCAGGTGCCCAATAGTCTGGACATAGGGTTGCCCACTAGTGGATGCCTCCCCAATGCACTGGTAGGACTATGCCACCAGGGTCTTAAGAGACCATGTGGGTGCGTGTGACCAAGGGCTTCCCAGAAGATGAGTTACCCACCATACTTTACTTGGAAGTGAGGACAGGATGGCAGAGATCACTCCCTCTTGTGGCCCAGTTAAGGCTGTCAATCTGTAGACGACAGCGCCACAGCTAAGAGTGTTTTGGGGTGGGGGTACGTTCAGGGGTAGTGCAGAGCCAGCCCTCCCTAGCTGAGCCCACGGGGGAGAGAGAAACTTCCCAGCAGGCGACAGTGACCAGCCTGGAGGGGGGCGCACATGATTCTCTGAGGGACCCCAGCCCCAGGAGAAGTTTAAATCCTTCACGGCCCCTCCTCTCTCTGCCCCGCCCCTGACTCTGACCACTCCCAGTTCCTAGAAGACCTCTGGTCCTCAATGTCCTCTCCACCCCTCGCCCTATGGCTCACCTGGGTTTGGATTTCTTCAGCAAGACCTCCCTGAACCCCCACCCCAGGTTCTGAATGTCATTCCCATTCCAGGCCCCGCGGGCCAGCCAGCCCTGAGAGTTCAGGGCCTAGGTCGTCCTGAGGCGGCTCAGAATCGGCATGGGGAGTGGGGGAGGCGGAGGTGAAAGGGTGGGAGAGGATCATTGGGTTCGAATCGCACCACCGCGGGTGCAGGATGGACGGACCCACGGACAGACCCATGGACAGCCGGGCGGGCGGGGCGGGGCGCCG